GTTTGAAATATATCATTTTAACATTCCTAGCATTTACAGATCTACACCTGGCCAATTTATTACCTTTTTGAACATTTTTCATTTGGTCATAGCAATTGTACTGTAAATGTAAGTACAACTTTCAAAATACACAGTGAGGACCCAAGTCTGGTCTCTAGCCATCTTCGTCAACATATTATCAGTATCAAAAAAGCAAAGTCACATATCACATAAAATATGTGAAAAACAAAAAAAGTCAATAAAGATCATTGAACTTACAGGCTCCAACATTCGCAAGGCAGACACCTTATCAGCTGGCCGGGGGAGCTCGTACAAAATCTGGGCTGCCTGTTTGTAAAAACATCAACGTAAAACAATGATTACAACCAAACCATCACACAAGGAGATGACACATTACATTGTCACTTACATTGACTATAGTCTCATTTAAAGAAAGATATTACAGGTTAATGATAAGGAGAAGAACCACATTTTTAAATGTGGTCCTTCAACATCACTTTCTTTCCCACTTCCAACAAACATTGAGATACAATTTACAGTACCGGAACTCTCAAGTAAACGTAATCAAATCAAATTATCATTCTCATCAGTTTATGACCTTTAAATCCATTTTTGAAAATTCACCATGTATACAATAAACAGAGGGAATCAGACGTGCAATTAATTCCTTTATAAACAAAAAGCACAAGTATCGCCTGAATATTTTATCTGCAATCTTACCTGACTTGCGCTGAAGTATCCACGAGAAGTGTACAAGATCTGTAACTTCTTCGCATGATCATCGGATTCCTAGAGAAGAAAAGGAAAGAATTATCTCTTTGTAGACAGAAATCTAAGCGCATGACATAATTTACACATGAATAAAGACTATGTTCCAAATAATATATGATATATTATGGTGGGGGGGGGATCAGCACAGTAAGGTCATTTAACAAGTGAGACCTCCGAATTTAACATCCATCCATAAGACCAAGGTAAGTACAGCGCAGCCTCTCTATAACGACATCGTCAGAGAAGCAACAAAAAATTACAAATGATATACAGTATAATCCACTTATATTGACAGCCGATGTATCGACATTTTGACATATTTTCCAATTACGAAATTTTTCCTTCAATATCTTCACTAAACAATTTCTCTTATATCGACTTTTTTTCAGCCCACTCTGCTTTACCGACATGCTTCCTGGGTACCTGGCGAAGCCCACGACCATAAATGGGGGGAAAAACCACGTTATTGCTCAACGCATAAGTTCTTCATTAAATCCATATACCCGCCAAGTAGCCTATTCGACACACCAGGCTTTAGTAGGTCATGTAGGGCCTATACACAGTGTAGTCTCCAACACAGTACAGTTCCTCACAGATGTGAGCGTCTCGCGCGCTGGGCATCACCTCCCTACCACCACTCGCAATCGCTCACTCCCTTTCCCCATCCCATTCTCAGTCTGTCGCTGGCAAGTGCCATGGTCAGTGAGTCAGCGCCTCACCTTTCCATTTTCCCTTGCAAGCGGCCATAAACAGGCCTTACAAGGATGCTGCAACAAAGTTTGCGCTGGTGTGTAGTGTGCGCGTTGGGTTGTTCGGTCTTTGGTACCGTAACTCCAACCCCCCCTTCCCCTCTGCCTCTTGGTAGTTTTACTGTGTAGTGTATGAATCGAGGGAAGTAACCCGCTTAAAAGTAGAATTGTCTTTTTACCAATGACCTCCCCTTGGTTTTTTTCCTCTTTGGCTTTATATTTTCATTTATCGACATCAAATCCACTTTAGGCTACCTGTATTTGGAAAAAAGGTGGGGGGAGACCCACATAGTTGGAGTCGGAGGATGGGTGTTTTGGTGACCAGTAATTTAGATCTTCATACATTTTGATTACTAAAATCACTGGCTCAGTGTGCTGAGCTTCCATAGATGACAGTGGTTTCACTTTTGTTTGACAAGTTAGTGAGCTAATTTAGGAATTTGGGCTCCAAGCAAAGGAGACGCAGTGCCTCACACCCCAGGGTCAAAGAGTTACAGAAAGTATTTATATTATTGCAACAGGAGAGGCACCAGGACTGAGTGACCCAAAGGAGTTTTATAGTGCCTTCTAATAAATAACACATAATGTTATGTATCAAGCACTCACGTTCAAGCAGTGCTGATTTAGAAAAAAAACTAAATTAGGGTTAGGCATATGTATGTTATACTGAATAAATTATTCTACTGTAAAGAATCAAAATGACGATGCATTGACTTAAATCCCACTTTTTCATTACACTATTTTACTTTTATCTTCAATCCAACCATCTATATATTTGACCTTTGGCTTTGGACATTTTGGTCTGTAGGCCTAATACGGTGTGCCCACATACGCGATCGGGTAGGGTTGGGCTTATCGGGTAGTCGGGGCTAGCCAAATTGAGGGCGCAAAGCAGTCATCGTGGCACAAACCGATCGATTTTGTCTGTGACCTACAAAAACAAACATGTTTGTTTTCAGGCCTGCGTATCGCGCGATCGGGTGGTTTGCAGCCAACCACAATTTTTTAAAAACTAGGCTGAGTCACGTGTCCATTTTGACCCATGAATACATTAAGTAGGCTGGGAATTCACGATTTCGGTCTCATGCCTTTGACTGTCTTCTCACCTCTCACAGCGAGTTTGGAGCGCTCATAGGCCTAGAGGAAGAAGAAGACAAATAAAAAGAAGGGGAGGGTGGTGAGAGTGACGGGAGCAAGAGAGGTAAGTTGAGAGAAGTATAAAGAGACCTTGCAAAATTGCTAGATCTAGGTCTCCATGGGAAGTGAGAAATAAACAAGAAAGGAGAGAGACACTAAAGCAAGCAAGCACTTACGCACACATACACACGCGCGCGCATACAAATACACACACACACACACACACACAGAGACACATTGAGAGAGATATAGGGAGTGCGGGAAGTTCAAGAGTAGGCCTAGATCTACTTATATATTCATGGGTCAAAGGTTCAGCCAATCGTAGCCCCGTTTACACCCTCTGCGTAGTCGCATATATATGTAGGTTAAAGGATCTCTACTTTAACTTCCAGATCGTCGGCTACAATCGCGGCGGGGTTGTGTAGTGTGCACTGAAACCACAAAGCAACCCAACCCGGTCGGCCCGGCCCCACCCAACCCGACCGGATCGCGTATGTGGGCACCCCCTATAAGATGAAAAGAAAACAAAAGTAAAAGTTTTTAATTTTCTTTACGAAATGTCAAAATTACTGGTTAAAAGCTGGGCCTATGTAAGCTTAACTCATTGTTGTATTATAAAAAACATGTGTCACACAGTTGACTGCTAGAGTCTAGGTTAAATAAAAATAAAAGCGATATTCTGAATTATTTGACAATGTTTTGAAATAATGAATATGATATATGTCATGACGAAGAATTATGATCCGTTGACGCCGCTATTTATCAGTCGTTGTTGTTCTCTGCTTGCATATTAGCTTAATCAATATTTCTCAAAGGGATATTACCTACCTGTCTTATTCTGGAAACCAGACGACCAAATTCGTCAGATGGCATGGACTCCTTCGACATTGTTGCTTTTAAAACTGAAATCCAAGCAAACGAAAAAACAATATCGAGTTCCAGTGGAGGAGAGGGCCTTTCGAAGTCCGCTTCCCTGGCAACAGCGTTCTTATGTACCGGAAGCGGATTAGAATCAGTCTAAACATGGATTGGTGAAACATTAACCCAATAATAATTAACTCATCCACTACACTGTTTTATTCCTTCTCCCTTCTTTTAAAAAAATGCTTCTGTTCTGTATCTTCATTCACATGTTGATAATGGTTGAAAAAATATTTCAATTCCTGTTAGAAGAAATAAATGCATCATCCAAGCCTGAAAGTGCTGAAGTTAGCCTTCTTAGTGTAGAATTCTGTGAGTTGCATAATGCATAGAGTTATCTAGATCTTTTAGCCTAGTGTGTGTAAATCACAGAATTCTACACTTATAGAACGGGAACTGTACCACGTGACCTGTGAGGAATTGAAGACCGAAAACAATGGCGTCTTGAGGGC